AAGGAATACTGATGCATTACAAATAAAAGTTACACAGATATCATTCACAGAAGCATCACAGTGGGGAAACATTTTAGAGTACATTAGGGGTGCATAAGCAACAGTTTAAAGAAATACTTCCACTGGAAGAAGCTACTTTCTCTTACATCCTGTAAATTACAAGCAAGTATTACACATTGACTCAGCCAACAAGCATACATGTACCCCTATTTAAATGATACTGGTTAACACTAGATAATCAGTACAACCTGCAGCATTGTTTAGATTAAGGGTGAGTAAGAAAAAAAAAGTTATAACTTTCCAATATAGTTTCCATCTTCTAGGACTCAGAACATATTTATTTTTCAAAAACTTCCCTGAAATATTTTAGAAAAGCAATTTAGTGTTTTGAAACTCTGATTTAAACACAGTATTTCTTCCTTTTTATCTCTGCCTTCTTTCTGCCTTTGTAGGCAACAGAATAAATTACAGCTCTGGTTTTCTTCTGCTTTTTCTTTTGTACAAATCTAACTTTGCAAAAGCTAAGGGCGTTTAGCAAAGTTACAGAACGCAAAAGGAGAAACAAAAGAAGATGAAAGGAAACCAGATGTCAGATATAACTAATTTGACTGCATCCTGAAAACCTCTTTCAGCTATGGCAGTGCATTAAATTTGCTATGCAGTGGGACTTCTAGGGTTGCTCTGCAGTAAGCTGACATCAGAAGAGTCTGTGGCACACGTGGACTGGCTGTGTGATTCCTCAGTACATTGGTCTGAAAAAACTTACTGAATATTGAATGTGACCTGGCCAAGGTCATAATAACTCTGTGTCTAACCTGCCTGAATAGTTTTTTCCTATATGAAAATTGTATTGTTATTCAATATGAGACTTAGAGAAACAAGGCTGCGAAGTTGCAACAGTCTTTACATTAACTGCTTCTCATCTTGTACTCATGCATATTTGCAAGGGAGTGGCTGTTTTATTACCAGTGAAGATGCTACTTCCAGGCTGCAGGCCAAACAGCTGTTTATGCCAAGCTGAAAACCTAAGGATTAAAACACACTAGGGACCAAAAGATACTTCAAAGGGTGAAGAGGGAAGAGGACAGCTGACAGTGGTCTGATTAGTGGATAGAGAGAGCTGCTGGGAGCTTCTGAAGCAGCTGTGTCCTTCTCAAGCTCATGAGGGGAAGAAATACGCAGAAATATATATTGGGATAAAATATGCTACGATCTCCTTTCAAAAGGCAGTTTTGCCCCTGTATGCTTATAATCAGAGCATGAATGAATCATGTGGTTTCAAGCCACAGAGATAAAGGATGTTCTCTACAAGGGTGACATGACCAAGATCCCAGGAGGGGTCTGTGGTGGTAGTGGTAACTTGAAAGCTCTTAATTGAATGAGAAAGGAAGAATCAAGAGTGCTCTTCATCACTCCTCCTGCTCCCAGGCACAGCAACAAGCACCTGCATGTGTACAGGCAACGTTCCTCTCTCCTATAAACAAATCTTGCAAAAAGGTTGATATAGTAAAATATAAACTTCAAATATTTCTATTGTGAAATTTAAAAATTAAATCCAGCTCTTCAATCTCTAAATAAGCCCTGTGTAGCACTTCTGGGAGGTCTGACATCAGGGCAGAACTGGAGGCCAGGCACAGTCACTCTCCATGCCCCAGATCATGAACTGAAGCCGTGCAGAGCTTGCTGGGTAAAAGCTTGGGGCTTAACAGTGGTCCTGCAAAACGGAAGAAGAGCTAAGGAGCTAGGAAAGACGCATGAGACACAGACAAGTCCTAACCAGCCCTTTAATACTATCTTTTCCAGAGCCACAGAGGAAGCATCCTCGCCAAGTCAGGAATTGCTCCGACTTCTCTGTCTTCCTAGAAATCATAAGTAAGACAGTAATTACTGCAAGAAGCCATAAGTAGTCCACTCAGGAAGGCTTCAGTTTCCTCTCAAGCACACACAGGGAAGCTCAGAAGTAAATGATTAATGGCCCAAAGCTTTATTTGATCTGCTGCTACAATTAAGTAGTGGCTGGCAAAGCTCACTGGTCTCCCTCAGGTACTAATCCATATTGGGCTATTTCAAAGAGTTCCTGAGAAACTGGAGCTTAGATAACCTCATTAAAAGCTATTTGAGAGGCATTTCAGTTACATTAATGTACTATATGACTACTGAGTATATCCATATGCTGCTCATACATAAAGATATGAGTAAGTCATCTCTTGGGTAGCTGAGGTTCTTCGGTTATTTCTAAAGTGTATACAGATATGATGGGTATTTGGGTATACAGGATATTCACTGGCTGAAGACGAATTCAGTAAATAACTTGAATCCATATATTGGCTAGGAGTGACGGGTTATCTTTGTATGAATGTGAGTTATGTGTTAAACCTGTAACTACCAAGTTCTGACATTCCTCATGACAAATACCATATGGAGAGAGTGAGCAGTTAGAAAAATAGGTTTGGGCAGAGGTAAGATTATAAGCCACAGGCAGTTTTCACAAACAGCATTTACCTATCTGAAAATATGTACTTGCATAATGTTTCATCTATCTCATTATCTTATCCAGATTTTTTTAATGAAAATAAGAAAAAAAAAAAACCCAAACAAAACAACAGCTCTGGCACTGCCAAAGGAAGATCCCTTGAAAGAACAGCTGGTATTTTCAATGTTGACAAAGAATAGGATAACATTTTTAAAATTACAAAAAAATTCAACAGCACTTAAAATTATTCAGGCATGGAGTGCTAGATCTATAAAGATGAGGGATGGTACCACTGCCTTCATGATGCTAGTACGTCAGTCTCAGAATTTCTTTTGTGCTGGACCTACAGTTCATGGAGCTGTCTAAAAACCCAGCGCAGAGAACTGATCCCAGTTCTGTGTGATTGTTGTGGCTGTGTTACTTTTCAGGTGGACTAGGTCCTTGGTTTGTCTCACAACCACATAAATCCTTGTGCCAGCAGAAGGGTGGCAGCAGCTGTGAGTGGCTGGGAGCAGGACTGAGTGCAAATTGGTGCCCAACAAGGATGTCAAGGTCATAAATGTTTTGGGGCATCTGAGCCCTAGAACCATCATCTCACTGATGTCCCGAGAGAATGAGTTTCCTAAGTAATCCCCTTATTTTTTGTATTTTAACATTTAACTCTTGAATATACAATTTCCATTATTCTCAGAGTAGATTGTGAAACTATCAACCAGTATTGATTTAAGGTCAGAAGAGTAGTGCCAGCTACTTAAAATATAATTAGAGACTGAAATCAGAGTCCTGATACTCCTGAATTAGAAAAACACTGCTAAACTGTAAGTGAAAGAAAATTTTTGATTTGATGGAAAAATCAAAATTTTTCTTCCTTTATGCTAAAAAGTGTGAAGCTGGGCTTTTTTTTTCACTCACAAAATATATACATTTCAAAAGCCTTTTGTTTCAAAAATGTTATTAAAACTGAAAATTGTAAGTAAAATGTGGAATAACCACACATTTAGAAATGGGTTTGATTAACATCCATCTTTTTAGACTGCTATAGATTCTACATATATTGTAGCACAGGAGTTTTTCGATATTTTTTAGTAATCCCATCAAAACAATAGCATAAAGAGTATTTAAAGTTCTGCTTAAGCTGATACTTAATTTCAAAGGCTGATTTTTTTTTCCAGAAATAAAACCTTTGCATGAAAATGTTTAGTATCCCCACATGAAGTCATTCTTGTGCTAACTTGGTGTTTAGAGATGGCATGAAAGGAAGAGAAGAACAAGAAGTACAGCGTAACCTTCTGTCCCTCCTGCCCTGCATTTGCCCACACCTGTAGCGGTGACAGCTCCACTGTGATAACTACCTGCTTACAACCTTGCGGCTTCAAGGACATGGAACTCCTGCTGTCAAAAAGGAAAAGTAATGTTACATGGCTGACACATCAAATACAGGTAACATTTTTCACCATGAGATATACCACTTGGCTCCTAAATTCTTTTGGGGGGTGGGGCGAAAAATCAATTAAAAAATAAACTTAAGAAAAGTGAGAAGAAAAAATACAGATCTTAATACAGCTTGGATGAGAAGAACTGCAAAAACCAATCCCAGCATAAGACCTTGCTTGATGTATCCAGTTTTGGATAATAGCTCCTACATTTCAATGACTCTGGAGAGCATCTCAAGAAGTACCACAACTGCCAAGGCACAAACATTTTTGACAGCAGTTTCTTAACTTGCTCTTACCGATCTGTAAAAAGGGAAATCCCCAAATGTCACTTACTGCCTCTTCTGGGGCATCACAACCCTGGTATCTAACCCAAATTTCATGCTGAGGTTCAAGCTGTTACAATGCTTGCTCTTTTGCCTTCACTGTGGACTTTACGAGGGCTCATGTCACACAGGCTGTACTGCTGTTTGTTCCTGCTAGGACAGCCATGAGCACGGTCACTCATGCTTACTCCGGGGTTCACTGTAACCTCCTGATCCTTCTTCAGAGAGGTGCTACCTACCTGGCTGTTCCCCATCCTGCATTTCTGCAGCCGACGGCTCAGTTTGACCTTGCACTTGTGCTTCAGGAGCCTCATGCTTTTCCAGAACATTTTTCCAGTTTGTCAAGATCATTTCTGAAATCTAATCTTGTTCCTCAGCATGGTCAGAGCCCTTCCCAGAGCCATCGGTGGTGTTATCCACAAATTTAGTGAGCGTGCTCTCTGTGTCATTACCACGTCACTGGTGAAAATCTTTGATGGCACTGGGCAAACTGCTGCTTGATTCCTCATATACAGCTCTGCACTCCCACCGCTGATGGCTGAGGACTGCACATGTGTACTGCTGTGCAATCAGTTAGGCAGTTGTTCCCTGGCTTAGAATTTATCAAAGTGTCACGGGAGTCAAATCCACGCTTAAATCAACTAAAAACTCATTTTTGTTGGCTTTCTCTTATCAAAGAGAGAAGCAAAATTCTTCTGCCCTCAACTGTTCCCATGTGGCTGCTGTTGCCGCCCGCACACCCTTCCCCCGTGCTCTGGGTGTTTAGGCATGGCGACAGGGCGAGGCGGGGCCGCCGCCTGCCGCAGGGGTGGGCGCCGCAGGCACCTGCCCCCGAGGCCGCATGTGAAGGCCTGGGCATGGCGGGGCCGTGTCGGAATGGGGCTCCCTGCGTGAGCCTGAGCTGCCCAAGAACCCTGCTAGTAACCGCTCAGGCCTAATCTACAGAGGCTTTACTGTGGAGATAGATACCTTGACCAAGTAATTCTTCCTGGAAGGAAGGAGACTCGGTGAGATTTTATTTGGGTGCTTACCCGCTGCAAGTGTAGGGAGTGGTTTAAGAAAAAGTCTGTTTGCTGATGCTTGCCCAAAGGTCCCACTGCCATGCGGCAGAGCCTCCCAAAAAGCTGAAGTTCACAGCAGGTGTCTGTCTGTGTTGCTGTTTTTTGGTCCCTCTTGAAGTCTGCTGCGGTGGTAGGGAAATGGTCCGGTGCTGACTTACAGGACCTAAAATAGCAGCTGTTGTGTACACAGACTCTTCGGGGTTGTGACTCTAAAGCCAATTGCTGGCTTGCTGGTAGGAGGTGATGTGAAGGACTGTAGCCGGGTCACATGTTGTAGCCCAAGGGGCTGAGATGCTTGAGCTCAAAACTTCAGACTTTGGTTTGTAATTCAACATATAATGCCTTCCTGCAAGTGAAGTCTTTCACAGGTATGTGAGAGTGTGTGCCTGGGCTCTTTTGTTACTTTAACTTGCTGCCCTTCACAGCAGCTGTTCCTTACCAGAACTGAATGCCGAGCAGACCCTGCACTTGCCAGCCCCATCAAACCCAAGCAGCACCCTCGCCTCATTCTTCTTAGTGGTGGGTTCTGGAGATGAGGCTACTCCCCTGGCCTCTGACTTCCACACCACCTCACTCTGTGAGGGGTCTGCGACAGCAAGGCATCAACAAGTGGTACTTTTGAGGCACCAGCTGTAGCTGGTGGTTTTTCCAGTGAACTCTAATGTTAACAGTGTCTGTTAGGCAAGGAAAGTGATTTTTTTCTTTTCTAAAACAAGTGATACTGTCGTTTTCTTCCTGAGTTGCCCTCCCACAGCATTACACTGTGCTCTGTTTCAGGGTGTTACTGTTATCAAACACTTCTCTGGCTCTGAAAACACCATCCCTTCATCTGGAAAAGATGAATTACCAAACAGCGTGGTCAGTGCTCCATCAAAGCAAGGGTTTGCTATCTATGTAGATGAACCAGAACAGAAAGAAAACTACAGCTGCCAAGTGGCTGAAGAGCTGGATTCAAGCCTCTCTCAACTGGATACTAGTGCGATGACATCCAGTATTCACCTACTGCTGGATCTGAGTACAGGTAACACCTGTTGCTGCTCAGGTGGTATCTATAGCACAGGTATGTGTAGGGTGGTTATAAATTAGTGAGTAGCTTCTGTTACAATAAATAAGACTTCAAGATAACTTGGATTGTGTCGGCATGAGGCACAACTCTTCTGTGTTAGAAATATCAGGAGAAGGTAAAGAGGCTAATTACACAACGTCTTGCTGCTTCCTCTTGCTTGTTAGGATCTCCTATGATAGTGGACACATCCTTCCAGTCCAAGCCTGAGGATCACATGGAAGATGCCGTAACTCTGGCTGTGGAAGAGTATGCAGAAGACATTCATAAGTACCTCCGGGAGGCTGAAGTGAGTGACTTGTAACAAGCTTATAGGTATTTGTGTCTCTGATGAGCTGCAATACTGCAAAGATGTATGGCTGCCCCAGGATAACCCAAGGCTGTCACTGAACTATGAAAGAGAAAGCGAGCAGTAAAAGCCATCTCTGAAGGCAGCATCTCGACAGTGCTGAGATCGTTGGGGATTACCCTCCGTCCCTGAAATTGCCTATCCCCGGAGCATCTATTGCCTCTTTGGGATGAAGAATTCTCACAGATGCGAGTTGAATGCTGCAAAAATACTGAAGTAGTTGGATGTGATGTCACCGGCAGCTCTCAATACAGTAGTAGTTTTTCCTGCCTTTCTGTATCAAGAGCAGTAAAGTACAGTCTCCCAATAGGAAGATGGGAAAAAAATGTGATTTATTCACTTTCATGTCCCTCTGAATGGCTTATATGTGATTGATGGCAAAGGCTGTTCATAGTCTAGGAGTTCTTTTACTGTTCTGCTACTAACAGACTCCTATCTCTCCAGTGTAGAAATACTACTTCCTAGAGATGCTGCTAGCTAATACCACTAGTACTATAATTGTAGTTAGTAGTAATGAGTTATAGTGGAACAATCCATAATCCCGTTGGTGAAAGCATAAAGAATGTTAATAAGCTCATACATTAATGGCTGATTCTTCAGTTCATGATTCAGCCATCAATCCTGATTCTTCAATTCTCTCTCCAAACAGGTAAGATTCAGGCCCAAGCCCCACTACATGAGGAAACAACCAGATATCACAACAGGAATGCGTGCCATCTTGGTAGACTGGCTGGTGGAAGTAGGGGAAGAATATAAACTTCAGACAGAGACTTTGTACTTGGCGGTGAACTTCCTGGACAGGTTTCTTTCCTGCATGTCTGTTCTCAGAGGGAAGCTGCAGCTTGTAGGAACAGCAGCAGTTCTTCTGGCTGCGTAAGTGTTTCATCTCCTGAAATCTCAGGGAGCTAAAACTTATTTTTGGACCGAGTCTTTTAGCTTAATTTGAAGGACTGAACTTGCAGTAGTAAGTAGCTTTTCATGTTGTTTCAGGATCAGCAACTTCGCCTACTTTGCCATTAGCAAAATTAAACATTTAATGTTTGTGATGTGAGGAACTGCAGTAGGGAAAGCTTGTAACCATAACAGCAAGAGCGAAAACACTACTCTGTTAGGCTGCTAGCTAAAAGGCTGTAGTAGGTTCATAGATTCACAGTTCTAATCTGCAATTAGTCTTGAACTGGTTTAAGTAGACAGGGTAGCTGGCGTAGCCTAGGAGCACATGGGGTTTGTCTGGAGTGCATTGTTTACTGAGACTTTCTCTCTGAGAGCTTGCTATTAGTCAGGAGTTAACAATGTGAGAGTGTGTCTGTCTAGACTGATGACTTGGAGTTCCTCTAAACATTTTTGCCCGAATTTGAAACTGAATTGTTACATAGCCTGGAAGAATGACTAAAGTAAGAGCTCGACACAAATCTTAATGTCATATGCTCATCCTGATACGGGTCCAGCAGACAGCTTGCTTTCACCATAACTTTCAAGCTGATAAATGTAGCTTCCATGTCTTTCAGGAAATATGAAGAGATCTACCCACCAGAAGTGGATGAATTTGTATATATAACAGATGATACCTACACAAAGAGGCAGCTGCTAAGAATGGAACACCTTCTTCTCAAAGTGCTGGCTTTTGACCTAACAGCCCCAACCATCAACCAGTTCCTCCTTCAGTATATTCAGAGGCATGGAGTCTGTATGAGAACTGAGAACTTTGCAAGGGTATGAATTATCTTCCTTTTAGGATTGAGGGGGGAGAAGGGTTTCTAAAAACAGAATCACTTGTATTTCACTAAGTTATCTGAGCAGACAGGTTCTGCTGCTTTACTGTGCTCTGAGAAGATACTCTTTCTCATGCCAAGCCTTATCAGGAACTGCAACAGGCCTAAAACTGGATGTTTTATAGCCTACTACCTTCAGTAGGCAGCTTGTGTGCTGAAACTTCTGGATAAATGTCTCATGGAAATCCTAAGGTTCTTCTACCTGTCTGATCAGGAATAATGGGTAGCTAAGTGGTAGGAATGTGATTGTTTCTTCAACAGTGCCAGCATAAGAACATAGGAAGTCTGTCCTGGATGTGATGGTACTACATACTGCTACACAATGACACAGTGTATGCCTGCATAGCTGCATAGGCAACACTGCTTAGAAGCAGATTAACCCAAGATTATAGCAACACATCTGATCTGCTGCTTATCTGCAAAGAGTGTAGGATTGCACAGTGACTCTGCTCCAACAGAGCCCAAATTCTGACTCTTAGAGATGTACATTGATCTCTGATCTCCAAATGAGGTCCACCTAGGTGTACAAGAGCCTTGGAGGATGAGAAGAGTGTGTATTTTTTATTTTAACAAAACATGGATTTTCTATCTGTAAAATTGTCAGAGCTGATGATGGGACCAGAACTTCAGATTACAGTGTAGATTGCTCATGCTTTGACAGTGTTTTTTCTGTCCCCACTGAAACATGCTAAACATTCTTCTGTGAGATCAACAGGACTAGAATGATATTTCTACCCATCAGACATGTAACTCCTGTTTTTTACATGAAATTGAGACCACTGTCAACTTGCACTGCTTGCTGTATTGAACTGATTATACCAGCTAGGCTCATTCTGTTTGAAAAAATGGTGGCTTTTTTTGTTCAGTATCTTGCAGAGCTGAGTCTCCTTGAAGCTGATCCTTTTCTGAAGTACCTTCCTTCACAAACTGCTGCAGCAGCCTACTGTCTAGCAAACTACACAGTGAACAGGTCTTTCTGGGTAAGAACAACTACATGTTAATGAGTAGCTTAAGCATTTTATGTTATTAGAACTAGGCTGAGAAGCAGAAGGAGTAGCTTCAAAATATGTTGTTATAAAGGCTGAAATCCTAGCATGAGTAGCTATTCCTGACCTACAGGACTAACTGATAAATAAATGTTATATCAACCTGAAATATCTTGCCTCTTCTCTGAAATGGGAGGGACCTTGCTGTCTTGCTCACATCAAATCTGTACCTAAGGCCTTGTTAATCTCTAAAACTTCTCCCCCAAATACAATTCAGGGGCTTTCTGAGAGGGAGGGAAGAGCTGAATGTGTGCACCTGAGTGGAATACACTGAGTGGCTGCTTTAATGCAAGCCTTGATAGTCCTTTCAGCTGTGTGTCAGAGGAATAGCTTTAACAGAGCAGGATCCTGAAGAGATGCAATGGATGCCACATACTTGGAGCAGAAGGAGCTTCTTGTCAGATCTACTAGCACCAAGGAAGAGCTAGAGTAAAATTGATGGCAGTGTACACTTGAATTCTTTTCAAGATTGAAGAATCTAGAGTGAGCACTGATGCAGTGAAAATACATTTTCTACAGAAGCAGAAGCTATCTTCTAGATGACTGTTGCTTACAAGAGAGTTAATGCTGTTTTTTCTCCCCTGACCAGCCAGAAACCCTTGCTGCATTCACTGGGTATTCATTAAGTGAGATAGTGCCTTGCCTGACTGATCTGCATAAAGCCTGCCTCGATGCTCCCCATGGTCAACTGCAAGCAATTAAGGAGAAGTACAAGTGCTCAAAGTAAGTAACCAGGAAGCCACAGCGTTCTGTAACTTGGAGGCTATAAGCACAAGATGACTCTTGTGCTGTAGCTTGGGCTACAGATGCTGTAGCTGACAGACTTCTCATAGTGGTCATCTTCTATTCCTGAAACAGAAGCCTCTGTCAGCCTGTTTGAGGGGCAAACTTTTCTGACCAGAAAAGTAGTTAATCCATAGGTATACAGACATACTGGATAACAATTCTTCTGTGATGTTGCAGGATGATTCTTTTCTTCCCCAGTGCATGGCACAAGAAGGTGGTATCTCTAAATTTGTCATCTAAACTATTATCTTTAGTGACTGCATTTATATTCCAGGTACCTGCATGTGTCTCTTCTGGAGCCCCCAGCAGTTCTTCCTCTACAATAGAGACTGTGGATTCTGGACTTGAAGATTACTTTGTCCCAGTCAACAAAGCTGGTCAAATGTATCAGAGCACTGCAGGTCATGTTACCTATAGTGATCAGAATGGTTTTTAGCTGGTATTTTTTTAATTACATGCCTTTTAAAAAGGATATTAGACTACAGCTCTTAATATAACTGACAGCACTTTTAATAAATGTCTTATTACACTGTTCCTCTATGAATCTTCTGACTCCAGTTAATATCTACAGTAAGAGTGAGTGGAAAGGGTTGTGTTTTTTACAAAATTGTTGTGAGCCGTGCTTCTGAGCTAGATGGAGTGGATAAAGTGTACTCTGAACCAACACAACCTGACATCTCTATAGACATAGGTGATTCGCTGCAGTATTTTCTGTTTGTTCCTCTTCTATAAGACAAGATCGGGTGGCCATGAACAGAACCTATTTTCTGCAACTCATTTACCGTATCAGAGCAAAAACATCCAGATGCAAGTGGTCTATGAACAGTGAACTTGTGTGTAGAAGACCATCAGTGTTGAGGTAAAAGTCAAACTTCCCTTTATAGGGGTCAATAAGGGGTATTCATCCACAGTGAGCTGGAGGAAGCGGAGAGATTGTGGCTGGGAGAGGCTTTGGAACACTTCAGACACTGGCAGACAAACTGCAGTAGAGAGCAATGTTAAAAGCTATGAGGTATTGGAACAGTGGAGTTGAGACAAATGGCTGCTGTGTCATAGTTGTGGTATTGAGTAGTCTTACAGCATAGCTGTCTGACCTCTCCTGCCAATAGAGTACTGCTGAATATGTGAGCTCTACAGTCTCTAGATAAACCTCACTCTTAGCAGAAAGGAGGGGGGTGATGGGACAGGACTAATTATAACTTGTATCCTGACAGTTCAGTTGGTTAACATGTGGAGAACTATATTCAGCTAATCTAAATAGCAAGGTAAACCTGAGGTGTTCTCTTACTGTAAGTGTTTGAAGCCTTCAGTGCTTATTGCATCCTCAAAGTAATCTGTACAGGACATTATGTGTTTCCAAGCAAGAAAATGTTTAACACTTGACATTAGCATACAATTCATCAGACATACCAAGTACCAGCCTTTTACTTTAATTTAAAACCCGGTTACACTAGTGTGTGTATTGTGAGACTGCTGTTAGCTTCAGGGATTTCACTTCCCTTGATTGTGTAAGGCTTGCTTCCCCTGGCTTCCTTCCTGTCTTGGATAGTGAATCCTTATAGTAATGCAAACCCTTGAATTCCTTCAAAATGGAGGCAGTGGTAATGGCTGATTCAGTTGTCTCAAAGTAAATATCCTTTAAGTGAGAGGAGCATTCAGTTTCAATCTAGACTATGCAATTCTTAGTCTCTTGTTTTGAACACTTTCTAGTCAAGTAAATTAATCTGTCTTGGTATTTACTAATAATAACAACGGATGTAACCAGATATCCCATGCTCATGTCTGTGGTATCCATTTTATGGTGGGGACCTAGATCCATGGATTGTCTCCATGCAATGAATTTCACAGCTTTTGGATGAATGTCTTAAAGGTGAGCTATGAACTTCACTCATGAGTGCAGACAACTCCTTTAGGTGGCTCAGTCCAAGGGTCAGAGCCAGTGGTGTCTAGTTACAAGGGGGAGTGGTGACTTCCTTGGTTGCCTGTTTCATGAGGAAATGGTGACTACTGAGCAAGAATCTTACTAAATCTATCAGGCTTATGAGTACCAGCTTGTTTATGGTGCTTCAGGCTTAACATAAGGTGTCCTGAAAAACCATGTTAATAAGCCTTTAGTTGTAAGTAATAGTGCTTACTGAACTGCAGTTACTGTAGTGTTGAGTAATTTGAAAATGGTAATGAATGTCTCAAGCACAGAACCATTTTCTTAGTGTTATAGCAGTTTGAAGGTATTTGTATGGTCATGTTGCAGTAACAGGGAAGAGATGAGTTTTGTTCTTACGAACAGTCTGTGGCCACAGTCATGTCTCATGTTCTTAGGCCAACATATTTGGTGCATCTAACACAGGAGGTGTCCAGGTCTGAATTTACTAAATGTTTTAACATGGGGTGTCTTCCTAGAAGCCAAACTTTAATTCTGTTTTACTTCTTTAGAGTTTACTCAGCTGCAAGACAGATACAGTAGTAGCATTTAACTTCCTTGAAGCTTTAATTCTCTGGTATATGAATTTAGCAGATTTTGCATTTTAAACTATAGTATCTGAAGATGATTGTGCTTCATCTGTCGTCTTGTTTGTTTTGTTACTGTTTTGCAACTGAACTAGTGGCTGAAATAGTTTTTTCATTTTGCCTTTTTAGCCTTTGTACTAAAAGAATAACTAGCTTGTGGTTCTTCACTTTATCATAGAATCGTGGAATGGTTTAGGTTGCAAAGGGCCTTAAAGATCATCTAGTTCCAACCCCCCATCATGGGCAGGGACACCTTCCACTAGACCAGGTTGCTCAAAGCCCCATCCATCCTGGCCTTGAATAATTCCAGGGGGGCATCCACAACCTCTCTGGGCAACCTGTTCCAGGCCTCCTCTGCCATTCTGTGAGTCATCACACTTAACTCTGGCCTGCCGCTCATGTGGGCTGTCCTCTGCAGCTGATACTTGACATCAAGGTATAAGAGATACTTCAGTTGAGCCTGTTGTGGTAATGAAGGTGAAATAATGCTGTTTTAATAAGATAAAGTGCTTAAATGCAGATGCAAAGCCACTTAAGAGTACTTAAAAGATGTGGTGAAAATTATCAGGTATACAGAGACATATTTTTTTGAGGGAGATGAAAGCAAGCCAAAAGGAAACTTTAACTTTTCTATGATGTAGTGCCTATCCTATACAGAAAAACTAAGACCTGTAAAGCTCACAGCCTTGTGTGATGTTTGAAACAGAACCAGACTTTTTGAAGACAGCCATATCCTGGAAAAGAAATAAAGGGGAATAAACATTAAAGACTAAACAGAAGCAGTCTCAATTTTTGACCATACCACTTAGTGGCTTGTAGACCATAGCCACAAATAAGACCTCTTTTTTTGTTGTTGTTCAGGAAATATTTAAACTGTTGCAGTTTCAGAATTGTCAAGCCTGATCTTGCTCAGTCAGCTTTGCTGTAAAGATCAGTCTGATTTTCAGCATGTGTATTTCAAAGGCTGAATATTGCTTTCTGTGCAGGTCACAGTATCTTCCCTCAATTGTGACAATACAGTGGGGGTAAAATGTATTGGTGAGACAGCAGGCTGAGCACATCCAAGGAGCTTTGAGTGGTCATTCAATACTCTGAGTGGAGTGAGTTGGAATTGGGAAGTGTTGAGGATTTTAACTTTGACCCATGATGTTCAATTCAAGAGTTCATTAACACTGGGATTAGAAAAACACAGAAACGCAGAGCTCCATAATCTTATTCTAGCAGTTTCTGTACTATCATGCTGTGACTTTCAGAAGGTGCAAATGTGCTGTGATTGCATGATCCTGGTTCTTCTGTGTTGTAGTTAATTTTTTTTAAGCAGTAGCTTCTAACATTAAATATTGTAGCTGCCCTTGGTGTCCTGAGAAAGCTGTTCTTTATAGCTGGGGATGTACTGTGAATCCATTGTTCCCTTAAGATTAAAATGGACAAGCAGAACTCAAAATAATAGGCTATGGGAAAGTATTGACTTAACAGCTAGGGTCTGCCTTTGTTCTCTTCTCTGGAGTGAGTTAAGGATGTCTGAGAGATAATTGGGTAATTGGAGAAAATGATTTAACTGCAGTCAGGACAGTTAAGCTGTTAATTCATGACTGAAGGGTGCCTGCCTTGATGAGAAATCTGGCTGTGTGATTAGTCTGTGTACATACCTGCTTGTTGTCAGTTCTACAAATGACTAGAATTAGCTCTGATTGCTGAGGTTAGTACTTATTTTAGCCAGTGGCCTTGAAGCAGCTTGTGGGGCTGCTTTTTAAGGATGAAAAACAAGCTGGCAGCATCAGTAATTTCTTCCTGGAATTAAGCTTTTTGTCTTGCAGTTTTTCTCTTGCTCCAGAGCAAGATCATCTTTGTTTACTGAAGAGCTGTACAGACTCTGCTAGGCAGATGTGAACTGGAGGAGGTACAGTACCATACCCTACCATTCAGATGTTCTAGAGGCCTGTCAAGTTGAATCTTACAAACTTTTTAGATCCTTTGCTGGTTTTAGCGGATGTATGTATTTCCTCATTACATCAGACAATTAAGAGTCTCACTAAATACTTATTTTTAGCTCTGTCTGCTTCATAGTTTTTTCTCTAGTATAGTAAACTCAGAGTTTCTCTTGGATGCTTGTTCAGATTGCATCCATGTAATATTAAAAAAACCCAAAGCTTTGCACAATGAAATGCCCATAATCAGCATCCCTGACAATACATCTATCTGGTGCTCCTGAGGAGATGTAGAGCTTAGAAAGCCTGTGTGGTGAGTAGCTAATATAGCCAGTCCCAGCTCACGTGTGCCCTGCTTGTCAGTATAGATGGCAGCAGTGCAAACACTGAAGACAATTAGCAGAGACAAACTTCCAGGACAGTCTACAGAAAGATACTGAGCATATGATACAGTTCATCCTAAAGTACATGCCTACCCTCATCAAATTAACTTGTGACTAAACTAAGCCAAGACAAGAAAGATCAGGCAGTCCTGGCCCTAATCCTCCTGAAGATGCTATAATTATGGTTCTGTCCTGGAGTTTTGTACAGTGCTTGCTAGGCTGTGCTAGTACTGAAAAATAATTGTGGGCTGAGCAAGGGCTGGTTCCTGGCCAGATGTCTGTCTCCGTTTGGCTTGTTTCCACAATGCTTAGGGCTAGCTCCTTTTTAAAGGAGATTTGTCCTGGGGAGAGCTTGTTGGAGCAGGACAAAATATATAGTCAGTGTGAACTAACAAGCTAAGTGGGTGGCTGTGTTCAGTGCTTGATGTCTGCCCCTCTTTGGTCTTAGCAATGTGCCCAGAATGACCAAGTATTCCTGTCACTAATATGAGTAAACACCTAGCTAAGCTATAAGGGGGTCCTCAGTCCTTGTCTTTCAGATGTTCAGGTCCTCTTTATTTGAACACAGAGGAGCATTACTGGAACAAGTGCTGAAAGAACAGGCTCATGATAAAGCATTGAGTTCTGGCAAGAAATAGTTTTCTCACTCCACCATCTGCAGCCAAGCTGCCTTTTCTGTTTGTTAGTGTTTTGATGTGTAAACAACTTGAAAAATTAGGAAAGAAACCCCTAGACCCCACAGCATTCAACAGATTAGGCATTTTGGTACTAATCAGTGAGCTGCTTACAGTAGAATATTGTAAACCCTATTCCTATCTAGGTAGAAACTGGAGTGTGACTGGTATCTCAAAACAGAATCATCCTCCATTTAGTTCTTTCTGTCCCTTTTAAGGAGGATAGAAATACCTGGGAATTAACAAAATGGATGGCAAAACAGACTGCAGATGAGCAGCACAGCAGTCCTGTTCTCTGTGATAATGGAGTGAGATGTTGAGGTGGCAGAACCAGGTTTACTCCAAATCATATTTTCATAGCACATGCTTAAGAACAACATACCCATCCCAGAGCTGTGATGTATTGCCACCTCTATTTACTGAAGAGGGACATAAAAAATATTCTCAGGTTTAACCATACAAGAGAAGACCTTGAGCTTTTTATTGTGTTAAACCAGAAGCAAAGAGCGAATTGACTTGCAATAAAAATACTGGTGATAATGTATTCTCTATCCTGATGGTCTCCCGAAGAATACTACCAGAAGAGGGCACCAGCGTCCTTGGTCCGTGGCTTGAGGGGAAAGAACCTCAGTGTTTCCCAAAAGGATCCTGGGTCAGAGCTCAAGAAGGCTATTTGGTCTTGGACTCATTTCTCCGTGTTTCTGTGTAAACT